ATCATTTGGTTTGCTTTGTATCTCATTATTCGTTGATTATTCAGACGTTAATATTTTATTATGTTTTTTGTAAATCTATTTTAGAAGTTTGAAATAAATGTTCAATTCTATTATTATATTCAAAGTTCATAATCTTTTAATCCAATCAAAAAGTCTTTTTCATCGTATATTTGTTATTTTAGTTTAAATTTTTAGATTTAGTTTAAATAAACTGCAATATAACCAAATGTAATCAATAAATTTGTTGAGCATTTTCTATAGCTTCCAGTCATTTAAAAACATTTCACTAATAAATTATATAATTATTGAATTATGTTATGATTTCGAAGTTATTTTCAATAATAAATAAAAGTCAAAATAAAACAAATAAACCATTCATTACTGTCTTATCAAACGTAAAACACATTTTAATAAGTCTTTTAAACTTCGATTTGGAGTACACTATAAACGATAGGATATTTGATAAATTATTAAGTGGTTCACCACTGCTGCCAATTATTATGATTTACATTCACCATAATACTAAATTAAACAATTATTTAATTAATTAATATGATATCAATTATTTGTGACAATTATATAAACATATTGTCTATAAATTAAGAATAATTATAGCTATAAAAGAAATGAACTTTTTTTTGGTGAGAATTTTTGTTTATTGTATTAAATGCGTGAATGAGTGGAGAATATGACAATTGTTCATTGAATCGATGGTGTGATCGACTAATCCTTTGGCATTAATATACATCAAAACTCGGCGATTGAGTGAACAATAAAGATAGAAAAAGATTAAGAAAGTAATTATAATGTCTGCATACTGTATCATGTACAATTTAAATATGTACATGTACACATTTCGTTTCATTCAATTTTAATGCTAATCATATTTATTTAATAATTTTTATTACAGAATAAGTTTGTATTGTGTATTGAATACAATCGATGACACAAATACAGAATTATACCTTTATGATATTGACTAATATAAGCAAGGTGAACTTAAACTACAGTTCACTTTAATGTACAGTACAGTCATGTACTGTAGATGTAGTGTAATGTGAGGCGAACTCTATTGAGTGTTGAAAGGTTGCCAACAGTGGAGCGCGAATCACAATAACAGTCACTCTAACGGTGTGTTTGCGTTAATAGTAGACTCTTCTACGGGAATCGGGAACAGGAATCACAACTCATTAAATGTGATCAACTCTAGTGTAATAGCCATCCAATAGGAGTGACTGTTTGTGAGTTATTCATACGTAAGAGTGAATGAAACACGAGTTGAAGTGTGAAAAGCATTTCAAATACATTTCACTTCAACTTTGTTTTCATTGTTTTCACAGAGAGTGTCATCACATGTGGTCATCACTCACCTCATCCAGAGGTCGCGGCGCCTATCGGGTCGTCAATGGCGTCAACAACACTGCCATCAAAGAAGAGGTACAAGTGGTGGATGTGCTGGAAGTGACGGACCGCTCGTCTGGTGATCGCAAACAACACGTGACGACCAAAACGATTGATGTAATCACTATCGATAGCGACGACGAGATGGACGAAGACATACAACTCATTGATAGCGAAGACATACAACTCATTGATAGCGATTACGACACGACTTCGTTGACGTCTTCGTCGGTCGTCGAGGCTATCGATGAGAAGCCGAAGAAGTGCTGGAAATGTATGACTCGACTGATTGGCAAAAGTGGTCAACAAAGCAATG